CGTAAAAAGACAGTATAAGTCATTATAATCAGTAATTATGTACCCACTGGATACAACAAATGCCTCGTTTATAATGGGTTTTAATGTTTTTGTCTTGTCGCTCCGGCCGGACAGGGCATCACAGTATGGTAAGGGGCGTATTCGATGCGTTTCAGAAAAGTGGGGCATAGAGGAGAAACAATAATGTACAGTATGTGGAAAATAATGTGTTTTTTGTACCTTAAACCGCATAAACACATTTCATTACACCAAATACACAAAATAATGTTCTTTTTAGCAACATCATATGACCCCTTTGATTTAGATGTGAATATTGTAATACAGTAACATAAAATAAATAAATAAAACATTATTGAAATTAAATATAGTACATTAATTTCATAAAAATACAATTATTATACTATTATAGTCTCCAGTCTGTGTTGACCTCAAACAATACAAGTGGAACTCCTAAATGAACAATACCAGAGGGTTAATAATAAATATATAAAAAAAAATATATATACATTTAATTTACTACAAATTTAATTTAATTTTTAATTAATTTCAGCAAAAATATTTGCATGGCAAGTAGAAATCTCACCTACTGACCAACTGAAAGTGCTGCAAACCAGTGGTGGGTAGCCCCGCCCAGTGTGAAATCTCATTGGTTCAAAATTGTGTACATTACACACAGACATTTTTGATTGCCTGTGATTTGCATTCAAAGCATTTGGACTTTCATTGTGGACAAACAAATTACCTGTAACTAGAAAACATTGGGTTGTGCCTGGTTAGGACAAGATGTTAGTCTACTCTTAATTGGAAAGAGGTTGACCAGAGGTTCGAAATGATCACATACTGTAATTCTCAACACTTGTCTTTCTGCAGTGCTCTGACAACTATGGGCAGCGGGAGGCATGGGTGATGTGGCACCCCACCTTGGTGGGTGAGGCCTTGTTTGCCATTGCTAACATATTTAGCTCCCTACGACTGATTTCACTCTTCACAGCCAACTCCCACCTGGGCCCTCTTCAGATATCTCTCGGCAGAATGCTGCTGGACATCCTTAAATTCCTCTTCATTTACTGCCTGGTGCTACTCGCATTTGCAAATGGACTCAATCAACTGTATTTCTATTATGAAACTGATGGCAGAATTATTAACAACGTCACATGCAAGGGTATCCGCTGCTCAGAGCAGAACAATGCATTCACCACGTGAGCAATCTTAGATTGATAGGTTTAATCTCAATTTTGCTTGTTTTGCAGTAAAATAGTGATACTATATTTTTGATTGTTTTTTTCCAGCATGTTTGAGACATTGCAGTCATTGTTCTGGTCCATATTTGGTCTTGTTGCCCTACATGTGACCAATGTTGACGCCAACCATGAATTCACCGAATTTGTTGGAGCCACAATGTTTGGGACCTACAACATAATCTCTCTGGTGGTGCTTCTTAATATGCTCATTGCTATGATGAATAATTCCTATCAACATATTGCTGTAAGTGCTATAAATTATTAGTTATTTTTATCTTTTGGGAACATTCACTTTTTTTCAATATCAAAAGTTATGTATTTTTATATATATTAAGCTTATCACTTTTTGCCTCATTAGTTCATTTTATACCTCTTTGGTGTGACATGAATTTTTAAAGTACAAATATTTTTTTCACTTTACTGTTTAATTGACATATTCATCTCTTCTCTTTGGCTATTCCACAGGACCATGCTGATATTGAGTGGAAGTTTGCTAGAACGAAACTTTGGATGAGCTACTTTGAGGAGGGTGGTACGCTGCCTCCTCCCTTTAACATCATTCCAAGTCCAAAATCAGCGTGGTACCTCATCAGATGGATCAAGACCCACTTCTTCAATATTAAACACAGAAAGAGAACTGAGACATTTGGATCACTTGGGGTAATAAGCCATTTGCTCTCCTCTTTTATAATAAATATTAAAGTGTTTTTCTTCAACAAAAGTTGATTTGTATTGGAATATTCATGCTGCTCTTTTTCAGACAGATGGTGAATTATATTGTCAATATCCAGAAAGAACCAAACATCTCCCAAAAAAAAAAAAAAAGTCCATTGTCCATTTACTATAAGTCTTGTGAAGTCATGCGATTACTCTGTATGATGAATAATCTTCAAAATGTTCAAATGTGTCTAAATGATTTAGTGAACAAATTGATTGGAGTTGCTGAGGTTTTCACTATCTAGTAATATAGCAAAGTAGGTGTCAAGAAAAATCAATATAATTTAGCTATTCTCTTTTTTTCTCAGATGCGAGCTGCTGAAAACGTCCGCACAAACCGCCAGTACCAGGTAATGGCGTCTCTTGCAAAGCAACTGATAATTAAATCTGTCTACAAAGTACACTTTACATCAGATCAACAGATGAAAGGTTAAAGCTCACCACAATCTCTTAGTTCATACAGTGTAAATCAACTCACGTCCTTCTGAATTTAGACATTAATCTCCTCTTCAAATACACTTTGACTATTCTGAAAGACACTGTGGGCTGCTTGTTTGGTCTAATCTTTTCCCGGTTCATAATCAAATGAATTAAATTTTTTTAGGAGGTACTTAGAAACCTGGTTAAGAGGTATGTGGCAGCAATGATTAGGGATGGCAAAAAAGAAGAGGGATTAACTGAGGAGAACTTTAAGGTAAAGTGTACTTTTTTTGATGGTAAGGGACAACTTGCAGTCAACCAATCATTATCACAATATATCCCTTGATAAGGTTTTGTAGCCGGTACATTGTGTCACTTAATATCAGTTTTATTTTAATAATATTTACATAATATTATAGTACTTGATAATAATTTGAATTAACTTTTTTACATTTTATGTTTTCACTTTAGTTTAACATTTAGTAATTTTGTTATGTGCTTTTGTCCATTTTATAATTATTTTTATTTATAAGATTTCTTTTAGCTTTAATTTATATTTATTTCTTTAATATTTTATTACTTTTAGCTTTAGTAATTTTAGTCCTTCATCTTAAACTTATTTCAGCTGTTGCCAAGCCAAAACGTATCATTTCCATTTCAACATTTTCTACTATTTATATTTTATTCAGCTTATTATATATAATTTTTTATATCGCTTTATTTCAATGAACACCAATTATTTTCTAAGTTTTAGTTTACAATAAGAACACTGCTTATTACACAGCTACTTATCAAAGAAAAAAAAGTTAATACATAAAGATACATAAAGACAAATAAGTAAGTAACTGATTAAAAAAACAACTTCAAATGAATATTTATCTGTGAAACTTAAACAGGACATCTCAAGCTTCCGTTACGAGGTGATGGGAATGATGAAGGGCAATAAGATTGGTGTGTCAAACTCAAAAGGGAACACAGGAGCTTCAAACCTAGTGTATCCTGATAACCCTCTGAAGTGCAATTCAACTTCAGCTGGAAGTCAACTAAAAGGCAAGCTGAGACTGCAGAATGTCGCCACCTCTGTGATCCAGCAGGGTGGACCCAAAGCCAACGCCTGTAAGCCTGGCGGCTTAAGCGGCCTAGTGGATGGTTTCATCTCAAAAAATACTGTTAGCAATCAAATGAACTGCAAAGGGCCAAACAACCCAGGAGAGATTTACTCTGTGTCAGAAGAAGCTGGTGAATCCGAGAGCGAAGAACAGGATGATGGCGAACAGGGAGAAAACGGGAACCAAAACAATGAATCAGAGAAGGACAGAGTGAATAAGACTTTGCAAGAGGATGATAAAATGTTGTATATGCGTTATATGTGTAATGAAGAAATGAATGAGGAAAGAGAATATGATGGAAGCAGATTATAACTGCATTCACAGTCTCTGAATGCTGCAAAACAAAGAGAAAGATGCCATTCTCCTGAACTCTGGCTCTATCCCAGAAGCAGCTGTGGTGATGGTCCAGTGCAGGGCACTGCGTCTGTACGATCCGAACATCCAAGTGTTGTTCTAGAGTCTCAGGGATGAATGCCGATTTTAGGAGAATATGGGGTCCAACGTAGAGGTCTGCAGATGCGTATTTTTGTGCTGCGGGATTAAATTCCCGAAAAAAACGCAGTAACGGTCAGTAACTCTGGTGTAATTTGACCGGGAGCTGGCGGTCCAACAATATCCCATTCCTGACGTCCATTCAGAACAGCATATCTGCGCTTTATTCTTATTGACCACCGGTACAGCCTGCACTCGGACTGTTATGCACATGCTGCACGCATGCTTTCTGCGTCACGCGTTTTATTTGCGGGGTCTGTGCACAGCATGTGCATAACGATGCTCAGAGCAGGCTGTACCGCCGGTGGTAAATATACGGCCCTCAGACAGATCAGGCAGGTTGTCGATAAGTGACAGAGCAGAATAAGGATGGAGCAAAGTGTGGATGCGCTGTCCTTGAAGGACATTCAACACAGTTTTGTTTATATTTTGCGTAGCCTGTATTTTGAAATAACAGATGTCGTATTTATTTATTTTTCTCTGCGACACTTTTCCTACTGTGTTAACAGAAACATGTCAAACGAATTTAGTATTTTGACAAGAGAATATAAAATAGCTATTAGGCTATTTTTGTACAACCTACATTTTCATTTTTTTTCCTCTCTGCAAAACTTTTTCCTATTGTGTTGTAAATGTTAAACGAATTGTATCCTGACAAGACGAATGAAAACAATAAATACAATTTTTGCACAACGTTTTTATTTTCTCTGACACTTTTTCCTACTGTGTTGCATAAAATATTAAACGAATTTCATGTCTTAAGATAATTCATATACATTCAAGTCAAAGTCAATAAATGCAAGACTCTTGACAAGACGAATAAAATAACATACAATTTTGTGCAGACTACAATTTTATTTGTTAGCCTATCACTCTTTCGTTCAGTAGCGGAAATATAAATGTGAGATTCTGCAAAACGAGATCTAAATTTAGAGGGAACGGTCGGGTCATGAAGAAAATTATTTTAAGCGGGTGAACAAAGAGTGAATATGTAGCGGGAGTAGGTGGGTGCGGAATATAACCTTGCGGGAGCGGGACTAAAAAAATAGTTCTGTGCAGACCTCTAGTCCAACGTTCTCATTCACAGTGATTTACACTATCAAGTGTGTAAATGCTCCTGTAGTTTATCGCTGCTCTGCTCTCCTTTCTGCTGAATCATAAAGGAGCAATAGCCGACCCCTTGCTAGACCTTTCATTCTGCCTTACTCTGTTCGATTTAGCATTTTATGCTATCTGTGGTTCCAGCGTAAGAGATCATTAATGTCATGCAACCTAATATCTTTAATAAAGGTTACTATGCAAATATTTACAACTCTTTAAACTTTTTAGTTATGTTTTGCATTGAGCATGAGGCAGTCGTTTAAGAAAAGGAACCGGTTGAAGGGTGTCTTTTTTATAAACATGGATTGAAGTCCAAAGTAAACACTACATATCATAAAGTCAGTATGGTACTGTGTAATCATGTCTGTTTCATCCTCCTTCACATTTGTATTCATAATAAAGAACATGGAGAACACGGTATTATACAGTTTGCACAGCATCAGTACATAGTCCTTTATGCTTCTATATGTCTTATTCCATCTATCCTCATTGTTTCCATAACAGATTATTGCCTCGTATTAAAGATCATGAATTAATGCACAAATATAAATAAATATATGCTGTACTATGACTCAGTATTATTGTGATCTTGGTTTTTATCCGAATTTATTTTAGAAATCAGAGAGATTTAAAGGGGTCATATGTAGGGCTGGCTCGATACCACTTTTTCAGAACCGATACCGATCCGATACCAAAAATTCTGAGTATCTGCCGATACCGATATCGATCCGATACAGCGCAGTTTTTTAAAATCAGTGTAGAAGTTCTATACCTCAATGTGTAGGTCGATCATCACTCTTTTGTATGTTACACACAATATACTAAATATAGACAGCTTCATTATAAAGAAAAATAACAAGCAAAAAAATATATATAATCATAATCTATGACGAATCATCTATTAACTCGTTAACACATATTGCCCAGACCCACAGAAGAGGTTTTTAAACAAACAGGCAACCACAGCGACAAAAAAAAAGAAAAAAAAATCACATTAGGCCTACATTGTGCTTGGTAATATAATAATAAGGGTTTAGATCTTATCTAGTGTAGATTTGCATGCTGCCGTCATTCTTGAAGTGGTGCCTGCAGACTGTAGTATCAGAAGTGATGTTAAAATCCTTACATCTACTACTCTGAATCCACTTATTGCGAGTTACTTCATCCAGGGGAGAAGTGTGAAAAACCTTTTGAGAAGCCTCACAAAACGGGACACAGCAATAGCAGGACAAACCACCCTCACAGATGTTTATGGAAATCTTCATTAAATAATTATATTACTGTGGTATACTTAATTTGTTATATTATAGCAATATGTATAAATAAATGTATAAATATTATTTTATAATCATCGTTCATTGATAAAAGATTGCGGCTGGTAATGCACTCACGCTACGGCTGAATACAGACCGGAACCTTTTATGCGCCCTGAGATTTCACAGGAAATATGTAGGCTGCATGCCGTGCATAGAGTCCATTGCCCATTTCTGCAGACCAACTGCCAAAGCCACTAGGAGGCAAGCCTGCAACCATTAGCCGAAAAAGCGTAACGGCTAAAGCTAACGCAAGGAAACCAGAGGCCGTTTTTTTTAATGGATGTCAATGGAGGAGAGGCTTCACTACGCTGAATAAAAAGGTTTTTAGAGGAAACGGCTTATCACTTAATGAATTGACAGCCTATCTGCTAATCTTCAACATGTTTTACACTAAACAATACTTTTGGATTTAACTATTCTTAGAGTTTACCACGAAAAAAATGCTGTTTTATTAGAGAAGTCCCTGACTTTTTGCGACAGGTGTGATTCAGCTTACGGTACTTCTCATTCATTCCTATGGGATCCGTAATTGGCGACTGAGTGTAGCACAACTCTGACTGAAAATCAATGATGTCAAGGCTGTAATGTGATTGGTTATTAAGGGACACGTGATCAAAGTTAGCCGTTATGCTTTCTCCAATAGTAAGTAGCGATTGAGTGTCGCACAACTCTGACTGAAATTCAGTGACGTCAAGGCTGTAATGTGATTGGTTATTACAGCACACGTGATCCAAGTTAGCCGTTATGCTTTCTCCAATAGTAAGTAATACAGACCCTCTTATCTCCCTATAGTAAGACAATCTCTGCCAACTGCCCCCCTAGTGGTCGGGAGCATTTACATTGTGTTGTGGCTTAATGTTGTTGTGTTGTGTGCTTATGTTTGCTTTTTTAATGTCGTTGTGTTGTGTGCGAAGTATGAAGATTTGGCAGTATGGACTTCAGCAGAGAAAGATGAAAGCAAAGACTGATACATACTCAGCTCTGACGGATCTTTTGATTTGCACCATTTTCTGTTAATGTGTGCTGTGCATTTCATGGAGGACTGTTTCCTGATCCTGGGAGAGTAGATTACAATGCCGGCTGTTCTGACTCACAGACTGTAAGTACGTTTTCATATTTAAAGAATTTGCCACTGACGATTCAAACGCGAGTTTTGAGCAGTATAGAGTAATGCTTGTTGTTCGTCATTTCTCTGATCACAAATGCAGACATGGTTTTATGTTTACGCGGCGCGATGCAACGCAATGCGTAAAAAGACAGTATAAGTCATTATAATAATCTGTAATTATGTCCCGACTGGATGCAACAAATGCCTCGTTTATAATGGATTTGAATGTTTTTGTCTCGTCGCTCCGGGACACGATATGTTACATCCCTTACCATATCACAATATGGTAAGGGACGTAACATTTCCGTCACACTCTTGAGGTATTCAGCCAATCACAACTCACTGGATAGCTGGCCAATCAGAGCACACCTCGCTTTTCAGAACGATGAGCTTTGTAAAAATCGACGCGTTTCAGAAAGGTGGGGCATAAAGGAGAAACAATAATGTACAGTATGTGGAAAATAATGTTTTTTAACCTTAAACCGCATAAACATTTCATTACACAAAATACACAAAATAATGTTCTTTTTAGCAACATCATATGACCCCTTTAATACATAATTTGACCATTAAAAAGATACATGACTAACATTAATTATGAGTGTAGAAATTGGGAAATTTTTATAGTGTGATACTATGAAAATGTGGGCACAGATTAACACGATACATTTGTGGGATGAACTGAAAGGTGGGATAGATTGTTCTTTATTAAAAAGACCATGGATTCCATAATGAAATTTCTGTTTATAATGAACTATTTCCATAACCCGAGGGGGGAAATAAATCTCACATTGCATTTAAACAGCACAATGAGAGCTTAAAGTGAAAAAAGTTATATTAGATTTAATATAAATTCTGTTGAGATTCATTTTATATTGACCCATGGCATGCCATATATTAACCAGCAACAGGTTATCTACTGTACTGATGTAAATGGAGGATCTGTAATGGCTTTAAATAGGCTCAGACTTCTGCAGTACTGCACAGTTTGATGGGGTGGGAACGTTAACCTGTGGGCAGATTTCGTCATCTAATCTGATTCACATTCTCCATCCTTCACCAGGATACAAAGGTCTATCTATAATTTATTTGAATTAGCACCCTAGAGAGTCCAGTATGCAGCTCAAGGGCACTTGAATGAAATTAAAAAAGCATCGAGTCATTTGCACTGTAGCAAGGGGCAATGCACTGACACAATATGCTTTGTGCATGCTAAAATCCAGAACTACTGAGCTGACCTCGGGGATTTTCAACAGTTACATCACTACATAATGAGATTTTTTGTTTGCACGTTCCAGGCAGTTGGCTGTCAGTCTGTGCATGAGTGGTGAG